AATATCACATGGTAACATTCTCTTCTGGTTTCTTATTTGCAATGCATGTGTGAAAATTTTAATTAAAAATTTTAAAAATCCTAGACTAAGACTTATGGTCCGATGGAGTTGAAAGCAAAGTTAAACTAAAAAGAAATTCAAGCATGTTAAGGGACTGAAAAGGGACTGGAGAAAAATCCAATATATCTAAACATTATTTTAATCTACTCTGGTATCATAAACTACTATGTATTAATCAAAGTGTAGCATTATTGAATGGTGCCACTACAGGGCAGAGCTAAGGTTGTTCAGATACCCTAACCATGCATTCCCATACCATGACATGTTTGGCTTGTAAGTGTAACTTTAAGTCTGAATTTCCTGTTTTTACAAGACTTGATTGGGCCATAATTACAAAATCCCAGTAACATTCTCCCCCATATTATAGATATGTATTCTCAAACTTAACTCCATTTTTAAAGTATTTTTTGTCTGGAAAAACACACACACTGTGGTTTGGAAAATTTATGGTCAGCTTACTCATGACTGTCAACCCCAAGCAGCTCATTTCAGTAAATGCTGATAAAGCACGATCACAAACACACACAATAATAAAGCTAAAGATTATGGCAACAGGGACATAAAAAACAAAAAGCCTTTTGCAGTAATAAAACCATTTCCTTCTTCCCAACACCCGTTGCTAGACAGAACACAACACAGGGCTTGGAAGGTTTCGGTTTGTTTGTTTTTGTTAAAAGTTTTAATGTAATTCCAAATACAATTGATATGACAATCTTACATAAATCTTTGAAAACACATGGGCATTATCTGGTTTTACTTGTCACTAGTTTACTAAGGCTTAAAGCAGAAAGTGTAATAACGTTTAGATCTCACCTAACTATATCTTTTCTGGACAGGGCTTGAAATTAAATTCTGGCCAATTCTGTGACTGGCTTATAGATCATAATATTTTGGACTAGGATGAAATATTTTATTGTTATTATGCTATAAACATATATGCAAGGCAGCTGAAACCCAAGTTTTACCAGTCGACAGCTGCTAGGTTTTAAGAAAACTCTGTAGGTAACTGTTTAATACTACTGCATCCCATGAAAACAAGCATGCTTATTCCGTTCTTCTGTATGTTAATGCACTTGTCAATGTAACACTATTGTAAAATGCCCAAAAGTGAGCTCCTACACACTCACCTCCTAAACGAGTGGCGTTTGGGAGCAGGAAATAACATCTAGTATTCCACAGTTAGGCCCTACAACAGAGACACTTCATTAACTTCTGTAATAATCTTTATGTTGGATACCAGCTTTACTCTGAACATTTATTTTAAGGGGGGTATTTTAAGTTAATTTGACTATCCGTGTGAAATAGGTCCAAAAGAAATGCAGATCACTTAATGCGAAACAAAGAATTCCCAAAAACGTGTGGGGCAGATAAACACTTGCACAGAGTTAAAAATCTGCCAGATTTCTACTAGTGAGGAACACGAAAAAGGCGCGTCAATCAGCTTGTGCATGGCAAAAGATACAACTCCCTCTATGGAGAAATAACAATACCAACAGACTGCATGAGCAGACAATCCAGAGAGGTCACAAATGCTGTGGCACTGCTAATCATGAGCCCTTTCCACCCTCAGAAAGGATAACACCAGGAGTTCCTTCAATGGGCTAAGTCAGGAAAACAAACAACTAAAACCCCTGGCAACAGTCAGCTATTGACAATAAGAAAAATACAAAGAGAACAAAGGTAAATACACTTCGGACTCAAAGCTAGAATGGCTGCTCAATTTGAATGGTTTCTCCAGCTGCCTTTGTGCTACAAGAACTCTTGGGTTTCCATCTTCAAGGGTTCCTGCACTAAATATTTCTTCCTCATTTTTTGAAGATGAGTTTTAGTTCTCCCCAGTCTAAATTTTTTAAAAATGTACAAAGAGTATGAAATAAGAGAAAATAAAATAAAATGGGGATATTTATAGGAAAGTGGGCTACACATGGTTCTTAGCTGGCTATGTATTCCATCTTCACTGGACAGGAATGAGATTATTGTATCAATTGGTTACTGAAATACAGTGAGTTTGACACGAGGCCAAAAAATTAGAAAGTGACAAAAACAAAATGAACTGTGGCTACACAAGAAACCCTTCAGAATGACATAGAAAGACAAACACTTTTTTTGCCTTTATTTGGCAAAACAGGATTCATCATTCTTCAGCACAAGTTAATCAAAGCTAGCAATAATTCTTCATATTGCAAAACCTAAGGAGGCAAGAAAGGGGCAGGGTTAGAAAGTGATTTGCTAATTAAAGCTGTCAGTCCAGCAAGTTCTTAAGCAGATGTGCTAATGTTAAGCATAGCAGTAATCCCAGTAATGGTGTGGTTACTAATGTGCTTAGTTAGGCACAATGCTTAAGTACTTTGCTGAACTGAAATTCAAGTCATGTTTACAGAGCAAATGAAAACCTGCAGCTGGCCACTGCCCATTGACTCTGGTTCCCAAGATTTGGGCTGGGAGGCTATGTTACTCCACTGCAGACTTCCAGGCTTGGGCTGCAGCCTGATGCCAAATGTCTATACACTGCAATGACCCAGCTCTCCTGTTCCAGCCTGGGAGCCGCGGTCAGCTGGCATTGTCAGGGCAAGTGCCTAACTGCACTGTAGACATACTTGTAATGAAAACATCGGTTTTGTGTATAGATTTTTTGTAATGGCTTGCTCAACTCACCAAATGAGCCCATCTTATTCTTCCAAATGCAGACAGCAGTGTTTCAGCTGCTCGGGGGGGGGTGTGACCTGTGTGCCACCCTACGCTTTAATCACAGCCACAAGAATGTAAGTTTACTAAGAAAAACTGTATGTAACACCTATTATTTATAGTGGCTTAGCTCTCCCTTAAATAGTAACAGAAAAGAACAGTACAAAACAATAGATTCACTTTCTCAACACACGAGAGCATCTTATTCATAACTAAAATAAAAAAGTATCAGCACAATAGAAACCCCCAAATAATAATATTGGAAGTGGGAGGGAAGAAGAAAAGGATTAACAAAAGGTCCAGTGAACTTTAAAGTCTCTTATTAACTCAGTACAAGGCTTTCCTGTCAAGCCACTTTTTTTGTGTTTAACCTCTGTGTAGAGACCCACCAGACAAAGGACAATGATGTCCACTAATTACACTAGGATTAAGGTAAAAAAGGCAAGCTGCCCTCTCTGCAATCCAAAGAGAACAAAGCCAGAGGGTAATCAGCGAGGGCACGACCAGAGAAGAGCACAGCTTCTCTGCGGGCAGCAGGAACTGAAAAGGGAGAAGCAGGGGTTAAGAAAGAATTCAAGTTGGAACCGTGCTGGAAAGTTCAATCTCAGAGGCCTGCAAAACATGAGCTACTGAAAAAACAGTCGAAAGGTCCCAATGAAAAGCTGTGACAAGTCATAATGTGCCATTCCAATTACAAGGAAAAAGGGGAAATGTTATTTTTCTGCTCATCAATATGATGAGCTTTCATGTCCCAAACCACATTCAGGCAGTTTCCAAGTCTGCTTTTTTTTGTGGAATCTACTGATCCAGACCAAAAAAACCAAATCAACAGAACAGGGATGCACAGTTCCTAAGTCCTGGAGCCTTCCATACTGTCTGGAACAATCGCTGGTCTGGGGTATCCACAGAGGTGCCTGCAAGATGGGGTTTGCAGCAGCCTTGCAAGCAGATGGGCTCACAGTTGCTATGTGCTGCCAATATTCTGCCCATCTCCTTCATCATTAGGAGCTGAAACAAAGAAAAAGATCATGGTTACAAGAAATATTTATCTCTAAAACTTACTTTGCTATTTTCTGATGCAAACTATGGAATGCAGGCTACAGCTGGATTTTCCCACTGCTCTATGCCTCCCTCTCCCACCTATAAGCTAGAACAGTGTTTCTCAACAACTGGTCTGTGGACTGGAACCAGTCCGAGAGATCCCCGACATAGTTTAGGAAGGCAGCAAGCCAGTCTCTAGTATCAAAAAGGTTGAAAAACACTGCTCTAGAGTTCCCAGTTCTTAGAAGCCCATGGAGGAATTTCAGTCTTAGGATTTCAAGGCAAGAGCCCAAAAATCTCTGCTTCTCTCATTCCTTCATTCCCAAATCCAACCTCCACCCCCATTACACATCTCCCACCTGTTCTTGTCTGGCCACCCAGAACCATCATCACCCCCCTTCTATATTATCATAGAAATGCAGGGTTTGAAGGGACTTTAGGAGCTATATTTTCTTAGTGTGCTTAGGAAAATGTCATGTGAGACTTAATCAAAAACCTTATTAAAATTGAGATATATCATGTCTGCTGCTTATCCCCATCCACTAGGCCAGTGACTCTGTCAAAGAAGGAAATTAGGTTGGTTTGGAACGATTTGTTCTTGACCTCTCCATGCAGGTTATTCCTTATATTTAGGGCCCTATCAAATTCATGGTCCATTTAGGTCAATTTCATGGTCACAGGATTTAAAAAAAAAAAAATCACATATTTCATGATTTCAGCCATTTAAATCTGAAGTTTGATAGTGTTGTAATGTAGGGATACTGACTCAAACAGGAGATGGGGGGGGAGGGATGCGGTACTGCTGCCCTAATTTCTATGCTGCTGCTGGCGGTGGCACTGCCTTCAGAGCTGGACATCTGGAGAGCTGCCGCCTGCAAAAGTAAGGAAGGCAATATCGCAATCCCCTGCAACTCCCTTTTGGGTCAGGACCCATACAATAGATCTGATTTCACCATGGGAGATCAGATTTCACAGCCCATGACATTTTTCATGGCCATGAATTTGGTAAGGCCCCTACTTATAATTCCAAATTAATTATTTAATAATTTCTTACAGTAACTTCCCAGGTACCAAAGTTAGGCTGACCAGGTCCTCTTTGCTCCCTATTTTGAACACAGGCACGACATTTACCCTTGTCCAGTTCTCTGGGACATCACCTGTCCTCCATTAGCTCTTGAAGGTAACTGCTAATGGTTCAGAGATTATTTCAGCCAAATGGCTTGCTCAACTCACCAAATGAGCCCATCTTATTCTTCCAAATGCAGACAGCAGTGTTTCAGCTGCTCGGGGGGGGGTGTGACCTGTGTGCCACCCTACGCTTTAATCACAGCCACAAGAATGTAAGTTTACTAAGAAAAACTGTATGTAACACCTATTATTTATAGTGGCTTAGCTCTCCCTTAAATAGTAACAGAAAAGAACAGTACAAAACAATAGATTCACTTTCTCAACACACGAGAGCATCTTATTCATAACTAAAATAAAAAAGTATCAGCACAATAGAAACCCCCAAATAATAATATTGGAAGTGGGAGGGAAGAAGAAAAGGATTAACAAAAGGTCCAGTGAACTTTAAAGTCTCTTATTAACTCAGTACAAGGCTTTCCTGTCAAGCCACTTTTTTTGTGTTTAACCTCTGTGTAGAGACCCACCAGACAAAGGACAATGATGTCCACTAATTACACTAGGATTAAGGTAAAAAAGGCAAGCTGCCCTCTCTGCAATCCAAAGAGAACAAAGCCAGAGGGTAATCAGCGAGGGCACGACCAGAGAAGAGCACAGCTTCTCTGCGGGCAGCAGGAACTGAAAAGGGAGAAGCAGGGGTTAAGAAAGAATTCAAGTTGGAACCGTGCTGGAAAGTTCAATCTCAGAGGCCTGCAAAACATGAGCTACTGAAAAAACAGTCGAAAGGTCCCAATGAAAAGCTGTGACAAGTCATAATGTGCCATTCCAATTACAAGGAAAAAGGGGAAATGTTATTTTTCTGCTCATCAATATGATGAGCTTTCATGTCCCAAACCACATTCAGGCAGTTTCCAAGTCTGCTTTTTTTTGTGGAATCTACTGATCCAGACCAAAAAAACCAAATCAACAGAACAGGGATGCACAGTTCCTAAGTCCTGGAGCCTTCCATACTGTCTGGAACAATCGCTGGTCTGGGGTATCCACAGAGGTGCCTGCAAGATGGGGTTTGCAGCAGCCTTGCAAGCAGATGGGCTCACAGTTGCTATGTGCTGCCAATATTCTGCCCATCTCCTTCATCATTAGGAGCTGAAACAAAGAAAAAGATCATGGTTACAAGAAATATTTATCTCTAAAACTTACTTTGCTATTTTCTGATGCAAACTATGGAATGCAGGCTACAGCTGGATTTTCCCACTGCTCTATGCCTCCCTCTCCCACCTATAAGCTAGAACAGTGTTTCTCAACAACTGGTCTGTGGACTGGAACCAGTCCGAGAGATCCCCGACATAGTTTAGGAAGGCAGCAAGCCAGTCTCTAGTATCAAAAAGGTTGAAAAACACTGCTCTAGAGTTCCCAGTTCTTAGAAGCCCATGGAGGAATTTCAGTCTTAGGATTTCAAGGCAAGAGCCCAAAAATCTCTGCTTCTCTCATTCCTTCATTCCCAAATCCAACCTCCACCCCCATTACACATCTCCCACCTGTTCTTGTCTGGCCACCCAGAACCATCATCACCCCCCTTCTATATTATCATAGAAATGCAGGGTTTGAAGGGACTTTAGGAGCTATATTTTCTTAGTGTGCTTAGGAAAATGTCATGTGAGACTTAATCAAAAACCTTATTAAAATTGAGATATATCATGTCTGCTGCTTATCCCCATCCACTAGGCCAGTGACTCTGTCAAAGAAGGAAATTAGGTTGGTTTGGAACGATTTGTTCTTGACCTCTCCATGCAGGTTATTCCTTATATTTAGGGCCCTATCAAATTCATGGTCCATTTAGGTCAATTTCATGGTCACAGGATTTAAAAAAAAAAAAATCACATATTTCATGATTTCAGCCATTTAAATCTGAAGTTTGATAGTGTTGTAATGTAGGGATACTGACTCAAACAGGAGATGGGGGGGGAGGGATGCGGTACTGCTGCCCTAATTTCTATGCTGCTGCTGGCGGTGGCACTGCCTTCAGAGCTGGACATCTGGAGAGCTGCCGCCTGCAAAAGTAAGGAAGGCAATATCGCAATCCCCTGCAACTCCCTTTTGGGTCAGGACCCATACAATAGATCTGATTTCACCATGGGAGATCAGATTTCACAGCCCATGACATTTTTCATGGCCATGAATTTGGTAAGGCCCCTACTTATAATTCCAAATTAATTATTTAATAATTTCTTACAGTAACTTCCCAGGTACCAAAGTTAGGCTGACCAGGTCCTCTTTGCTCCCTATTTTGAACACAGGCACGACATTTACCCTTGTCCAGTTCTCTGGGACATCACCTGTCCTCCATTAGCTCTTGAAGGTAACTGCTAATGGTTCAGAGATTATTTCAGCCAATTCCTTAAGTACCCTAAGATGAATTTCAGTCACTGCTGATGTCAATGCAACTAATTTATTTAAATATTCTTTAACTAATTCTTTCCTCATTTCAGCTTGCCTTCCTTCTGCCATGTTATTAGTATTAGTTGTGTTCAGTATCTAGCCATAATTAACCCTTTTCGTGAAGAATGACGCAAAATAGGCATTAAACACCTCAGCCTTCCTGATGTCATCAGCTATTAGCTCTCCTTCCCTGCTAAGATGACCACCTTTACTTTCCTTTGCATTTCTCTTGTTCATGTATTTAAAGAATGTCTTCTTACTGCTAATGTCTTTTACGTGTGCATTAACTTTTATGATGTATTTTCCTACATGGAATTAGCTGGTATTCCTCCTGCAATGACGTTTACCAGCTAGTTGGAATTAGGGCCTTTAAATCGGAATCCCGTTTACTGCCGCGTGTAGATGTGGGCAGTTACTTTGAGCTAGTGAATGAGCTAGTGAATTTCTAAAATGGTGACCGGCCGGGAACATGCAAATCAAGGGCGGGATATTTAAATCCTGGGCTTGATTTGAAATTCCGGTTGCCCTCATTGGCCTCTCTAGATCGATCTAGGGGACTAGTGTAGACGTACCCTGACAGCTCTTCTGAACTCCTTTATATCTAAGGCTTTCTTCCTTACCTTACCAGTTCTCTGAGATTGTTAAAGACTGCGGTTTTTGTAAGTCCATTGTCCTTATTCTGTTGTTCTCATTCTTTCCTTAGGATCACGCAATCTATCATTTCGTGATCACTTTCACCCAAACTGCCTTCCACTTTCATATTCACAACCAATTCCTCAGAATCAAGTCTAAAATGGCTATTCACCAAGTTACCTCCCTCCACTTTCTGAAACAAAATGCTGTCTCCAATACATTCCAAGAATTATTGGACATTTTGCATTTAGTGAATTAACTACCCAGAAACCTGTTGAAAAAGTAAAGTCCCCCATTACTACCATTTCTGTTATTTGTTTTAGTAAGGTCTTATTCACATCTTCTTCCACATTTGGTGGTCTACAAAAGAGCCCTACTGTGATGTCATCCCTATTCTCCCCCTATTTTTTCTTTATTCAGACTTTCAACTGTGTGTGTCTCATCTCCGTTTGGATCTCAGAATAAGTATATATGTCCTTGATGTATAAGGCAATCCACCTCCACCCTTTTTTCCACTATCTTTCCTGAAGAAGCTATCCCACTGTTCATTCACAGAAGATACTATTCCCCCAGTATAGCAACAGGTCTGTCAAGAGATTTATCTCACCAAGTCTCTGTGATGCGAATTCATAATTTAACTGCCAATTCTTTTCTTTTTATTCCCCATACTCGTTACATTTCTGTATAGACATCTAAACTACTGAGCCTTTCATTCTGCCAGAACTGAGGTGCTGCTCCAAACTCAGTCACTGCTGCAAATCATGCTTGCTATTTTTTTTACCATGAGACAGGTTGTAGAACTGACAGCAGCAAAAGAATGGGAGGTTTCTAGCTATAGGAAGACAGAAGATAGCTGGTTCCCATCCACAAGTCTTGAAATGACTCCTCCTTCCTTTGCTCCCAACTTTCAGTCTCCCTCCTGTTTCCCTGTTCCCTACTCCTCTGACTCCTTACTATTTCCTAATACATCTGCACTCCTGGCTGCCCACACAGTCCTATTACCCACTTTTCTATATTCTCCTGATCCCTGACTATGCCTCATATCATGACTAAAGGGCCAACATCTTCCCTAAAGGCAGCCTGGAAACAATGGGAGCTTGTCATCATTTTCATAGAATCATAGGGGTCATCTAATCCCATCCCCTGAATTCATGACTGTACTAAGTATCATCTAGACCACATCTGGTGGATGTTTGTCTAACCTGCTCTTAAAAATCTCCAACAATGAAGATTTTATAGCCTGCTTAACCAACCTGAGAGTTAGGAAGTTTTTCTAATTTCCAACCTAAACATCCCTGCTGCAATTTAAGTCCATTGCTTCTTGTCCTATCCTCAGAGGTTAACAGGAATATTTTTTCTCTCTTCTCATTATAACAAACAAAAACAAACAAACTTTTATGTATAGGCAGTCCCCGACTTAGGAACGGGTTATGTTCCGAACATCTGGTCGTAACTCGATTTGGTCGAAAGTTGGCAATACCCTTAAATGCGCTGCCCGTACTGTTCGAAAAACTTGATGTACATGCTTCTCAACTCGAAAATATTATAATGGAGTTAATGGTAGGTTGGTCGTGAGTACGGATGGTTGTAAGTCAGTGTGTTTGTAAGTCGGGGAGTGGCTGTACTTGAAAAGTGTTAGGTCTCCTCAGTCTTCTCTTCTGCAGACTAAACAACCTCAGTTTTTTTCAATCTTCCCTCATAGATCAGGTTTTCTAGACCTTTAATCATTTTTGTTGCTCTTCTCTGGACTTTTTGATAAAGGACAACATTTCACTAGGTTGAAGGCAGAAATCAGAAACTCATGACCCTTAATCTGCCAATAAGACAGTTTGAACCTAATTTGTTGGGGAAAAGTCAACAGTTTCTGTAAAGGGAAATCCTGCCTTACTAATCTACTTGGCTACGTCTACAGTGGCCCCTTTTTCAGAAGGGGCATGCTAATTTTGAAAGTGGGAATAGGGAAATCCGCGGGGGATTTAAATATCCCCCGCAGATTTAAATAAACATGTCCGCCGCTTTTTTCCCGGCTTGGGGAAAAGCCGGAAAAAAAGCATCTAGACTGGCCCCATCCTCCGGAATAAAGCCCTTCAAAGTAGGAATAAGAGATCCTCCGGAATAGGGCTTTATTCCGGAGGATCGGGCCAGTCTAGATGCTTTTTTTCCGGCTTTTCCCCAAGCCGGGAAAAAAGCGGCGGACATGTTTATTTAAATCCGCGGGGGATATTTAAATCCCCCGCAGATTTCCCTATTCCCACTTTCAAAATTAGCATGCCCCTTCTGAAAAAGGGGCCAGTGTAGACGTAGCCCTAGAGTTCTTTGAGGGAATAAAGAAATATATGGGCAAGGGGGGATCCAGTGGGTATAGTGTACTTAGATTTCCAGAAAGCCTTTGACAAAGCCCCTCACTAAAGGCTCTTAAGTAAAGTAAGTTGTCACGGGATAAGAGAGAAAGTCCTCTTCTGGATTGATAACTGGTTAACAAGACAGGAAACAAATGGTAGGAATAAATGTTAAATTTTCAGAATGGAGAATGGTCCCAAGGATCCATACTGGGACCAATCCTATTCAACCTATTTATAAATGATCTGGAGAAAGGGGTAAACAGTGAGGTGGCAAAATTTGCAGATGACACTAAACTGCTCAAGATAGTTAAAGCCAAAGTAGACTGTCAAAAGCTTAAAAAAGATCTCACCAAACTAAGTGATTGGACAACAAAATGGCAAATGAAATTTAATGTTGATAAATGTAAAGTAATGCACATTGGAAAAAATAATCCCAACTAGACATACAATATGAGGGGGACTAATTTAGCTACAACTACTCAAGAGAGAGATCTTGGAGTCATTGTGGACAGTTCTCTGAAAACATCCACAGTGAACCTGTGGAAATCCTTGCCAGAGGTTGTTGTAAAAGCTAGGACTTTAACAGGGTTCAAGAAAGAACTAGATAAATTCACAGAGGCTGGGTTCATCAATGGCTATTAACTAGGATGGGTAGGATTGGCATCCCTAGCCTCTGTTTGTTGGGAAATGGATGACAGGAGAGGGATCATTTGATGATTACCTGCTCTGTTCACACCCTCTGGGGCCCCTGACATTGGCCACTGTTGGAAGACAGGATACTGGGCTAGATGGACCTTTGGTCTGACCCAGTGTGGCCATTCTTGTACTAATGAGAATTGACAATGATGAACTAATTAATATCCTGTAATTAAGGCCACAGCGCCACTAAGGGCCCTCCATGCTAAGCCATGCGGGGAACTTTTCAACAACCATTTAGAGGAATGTGACAAATATAAGGAAATTTCTATTAGGTGACTGGACGAGTTGGCTGTGACTACAGCTAAGTCCACGTAATGGACCCTATACTACAAACACTCATGAATGTAAGTAAGAGTTATGCATTAATGGAAGACTCGAACAGTTTGCATTGTAAAAGTACAAAGGGAGAACAGTACAGGAAACTAGAAAGTTTAGCATTTTCTTGCTTACCACTCCCAGCAGATCCTGTAGGAACAATGACGTCATCATCATCATCATCACTATCTTCTTCATTTGATTGTGTTACCCCTGGCTCGGGGGCTGTGATCTTTGTTTCTTGCTCTTGTTCCACTCTACACCGTAGAGCCAAGATCCGATGGTGCAATGCAGCATATAGCTGTCCTGTATCTTTAGAACTTGCCTATGGATTTTTAAAATGTCAAAAAAGTAAGATTTTAAGTTAGAGCAAAACATTCCCACCAAAACATCCTTCACTGCTTTAGAATTTCACACTGTAGATTTCAGAATCAGTAGGTCTGGTATCCAGCTGGCTGTTTTCAGACCAAATCAGAGAGTTAGTAGCAATGGAATCACAGCATTGGTGGACAAGGGCTGGGCACGTTTAGTTTCTGAAGGGAAGAATACACTCAGTGATGCTCTCCAACCACTTCCTATGGCTGACTGAAGGGAATGTTGGTTGACTTTAGAAGAAACCACATGCAACCTCCTTCATCTCAAGAAGATATTGAAGAGGAACCAACAACAAAAGAAAAGGCACAGAGGGGAAGACTCAGAATCACCCAGCTGCATGCCAAATGCACAGGCTTTTTTTTTTTTTTTTTTGGAGGGGTAGGGGGGGCTAAATTTAAGCTTCTACTTTCTTTACAGAGGGAAGTCTTCAACATTCAAAGTCCCCTCAAACAATCTATCTGGATTGTCATTCATACATCCTGTACACAGATTTATTAGTAAAATGACTTGTGATTATTTTATCATGTACCTATAACACCCCCTAACTTTCTAACAAAACACATTTAATAACTGTGAATTGCCAGACTTGTGGTTCATGAAGCCCAGTATATGGCGTCTGACTTTCTAGAACACTCTAAGGGGAGTTGTAGCCTTTTCAAAACTTAATTATTCAGTGGATAATATTCATACCAGCAGCTGAAAGCTAGGCTGTTGCAAGGGTATAATTAATGAAATCATGTGTATAAAAAAAGTGGAAAGTGGATGGAATTTTAAAAACTGGATGAAAACAGACCATGAATTCCAGCAATAATTGAATCTGGCAATATTCTAAACAAAAAGTGCTCTTAACCATACTTGTAGTTTTTTTTCCATTGCTTCACATTGACTCAGACATTCTTGGCTTCAGAGTGACAGCTGAGGTTATTGTCCATGCTGACCGTGTTAACATGTGTCTGCGTTGTGTTGCGCTGAGATTAGGGATGTTAAAATTAGATTAATTGACTAATTGAATAGTCAATGGAATTTTCATCGACTATTCGATTAGTCGAAAAGGGAGTTTCCTCTTTGAAATGTAGCAAGACCCCGCCCAGCTGTTCCACCTTTGAAATGTAGCAAGCACCACGCAGCGTTCTGCCTTTGAAATGTACAAGTGTCAAAGCAGGGCCCAAGCTTCACGCTGTGATCCCACTTTGAAATGTACAAGAGCCCCAGCAGGGAATCTTGAACATTTCAAAGGTGGAACGCCGCTGCTGCGACCCTGCCCCCTCCCATGGAGCTAGAGCTGGGGGGAACTGGCTTTTAATCTGGCTCCCCCCAGCACACTCTCCTCTATACCCCTCCCTCCTTGCTGCCTCTTTCTGATGGGGGGGGGACTAGTTGACTAGTGTGTCAACTATTTGATAAGCTTCTGCTTATCAGATAGTCGACTAGTTGCTTATATCCATTCCTACCTGAGATGTGTTGCTTTGTGTAGGTGATTAAGGAGGATTTTTTTCTGCCATGAAGGACGATGTTTGTTTAAGGTTACTGTGTATGCTGTTTGTGTTGTTGTATGAGTTGTTCTAACGCACTACTATAACCGGGTCAAGTAATCTACCACCCTTGCTGTCTCCCTTTACACAAGCAATGCAAGTTAGCTGAAGAATAAGGTAGGGACTGCACGAGTTAGCTCTGGAATCACAATGGCCAAGACTTCTGGCACTCCTTAGACACATGCCAGGCTGCTACTTACGGCTAATTTGTGAACTCAAAACACTGGACAGTAAAAAACGGCAAATCTCAGTGATGACTGACCCTCAAGGTGTCCTGAGTGTTTCAATCTGGAGCTGTTTCTATCACTTCACCCTGACTCAGACATTCTAGGCTTCAAGGAGACACAGAGTGACAATCATTAAATAATTAAGCCCAATCCATTCCTAACTACTGCTAATCTGATGGCCTCCATGACAGCCCGTGGACCTCATTATCACAATGAATATAAAAATATTTCCTTGTATCTATTTTGAATTTATTAGTTTTCAGTTAATTGGATGTTCCTGTTTTATGACATAGAACCCAATCTACCTTTTCTATTCCAAACATCATTTTGCATACTTTTATCATGTCTCCTTTTTACCTGTCTCATCTAAGGTTATAAACCCAATCTTTTTAATTTCTCTTCTGAGGAGAGTTCTTCTAGGCCCTTTAATGTTCCCTCAAATTTTCCATCTATATGTAGAATTCATTTTTTATGTGCACCAATACTTAAGTAACGTGTGGATGTGCACCATCAATAGAAACAAAAAGGCTAGATAGAATATATATTTTTAAAATGTTATCAAGGGGATAATTATTCCAGTCAGGATAGGTTAGGCATTTTAGAACTCAAAGAATTAAAATTTAAGTATAAGAGATAAATAAAAATTAAAGTATCAGCTCTTTGAAAGACTAAAATTACAGAGAAGTATCAAGATGTAAAATGACCACCACAAAGTCTGTGTTGGAAGGGGAGTGTGACAAATGTGGACAGTATGTGTATGCATATGCGTGAGACAGTGCGTATATGCGTACATGCGAGGGACACTGAGTGTGTGTGTATATGAGTGACACACACACACACACACACACACACACACACACACACAGAGTGTGTATGTGATTAAGTGCGAGAGAGACAGACAGACTGTGTGCGCACTGGTTGCTGGGAAAGTCTATGAGAGACTGTGCATTGTTTCTTTAAGGCATTCACCAGAAAGCTTGTTGTTCAGACTGCAGCAGCTGCCAGCAGCTCTCCTGCTCTGCAGAGATGGGGCACATGCACATAGGGTTGGCGGGGGACACACTGATATCACTACCCTCTCTCCCTCTGACCCCCTCCTCTGTACAGCAAGCAGAAAGGTCCCAGGAGCAGCCAGCCAGGGGCTCCTAGGCAGAGGGCAGGAGCTACATGGCAGCAGAGAAGAAGGGGGAGGGCACCTGTATATACATAGCCAGATGTGCGCAGCTCTGCTAATCAAATGTGCAGCACTTGGCTCACTTCTGGGCAGCTGTATGACCATGCTGCCTAGAAGGAACACAGGCCTCTAATCATTCTTGTCAGCCATCTTTGAATCTCCTCCTTCCCCCCTATGTTCTGAAGTATTACTTCTGGCATAGATCAGTACTTGCTAGAAATTAAGTCACTTGCTTTTTTCTTCAGAGCTCTTGTGGATATACCAACATGAATGCCTATAAATAGCTGTTTTTAGAAATCTACTCACCCCCTTGTTTCATTAATAAGCCAGATACCTTGGTTCTTTCAAAAGTACTTTCTGAAATATGGGGTTTGACAATGCATTTACAGCAAGATCAGCAACCCCCCACTGGAATTCCAAGGGCTACTGGTTGGACAATTCTGCTTAGCAAAGCAACTTTACAACACACAGGACTTGTCAAACAAGTATGCTTTTGCTTCCTTTCTTCTCTCCCATAAATAAATAATTCCTTTGGCAATGAAAAGGGGCTGTCAGTGATCTTTTTATGGAAGGAGAGATGATAGCAATTTAAAAAAACGGAGGTTACTCACTTCTGCATTAACTAGGTGCTTCGCTTCAAGTGTGTGAGCACCCCAAGTGCCTTCCAGCAGAGATTTTCATTCGCAGCATCTGTGCATTCATCCAATGCATTCTTGTGCTGAGCACTGAGGGTAAACAGGGGTTGCCTAGGCAATCTCCCCTCAGTTCCTTCTCTCATGCAAAGTCTCTCCGAGAGAACACAAAAGCAGAGGGGATGGAGGGTAGTGGAGCACCCATATGGAAACATCTCAAAAAACTACAGTTATTTCATAGTGTGAGCAACTTCTTCTTTGAGTGGTGTCCCTATGCGTGCTCCACTTTCAGGTGACTCCGAAGAAGTGTTCTCCTAGGGACAAGAGAGCTTCAGAATTGGGTCCAGTACTGAAAAGAACAGCATTGCCAATGCAGCATACTTCTCAAGTTTCCCGGACTGAATGGAAAATGGCTGGCTCCCTTAGAAGGCAGTCCCAGACCACCACCACCTACCATTTTCTCTTTTTGGGAATGGTGGTTGTGGAACCCCCACCCCTAGGACAGTACATCCCACGCCTTCCAGTCGATGGGCTCTCCTTCTGATGCCTTCCCGTAGATGTGTCTTCCAAACCATTCTCTGCTGCAGTATTTGTATAGCGAGCCTGAATATGGTTTCTTACCTCTATCTGCATCAGGTGTACATGAGTTCTCCTTTTTTCTGGAGGGCACATGCTGCCAATTTTTTTCCTCTCGTTCTGCAACTGCCCTCTCTGATTCTTCAGCATGCAGTGCCTGCTGTATCAAATACTGACTTCTATCCAGAAAGTCTTCATTTTTTCTGATGCAATACATGGTTGGATACTTAGGTCTCTAGTCCTTTAATCTTCTCTTCCAGTATGGAGATCAGTCTATACTTCATATAAAGTTGCTTCTATCCTCTGGGAGAAAGACAAACATAGCATATCCTTTGCAGATCACAACAGCTGATTGCTCACTATCCATACTGTCTTCTTTCTAAGAACCTCTTCAGATGCTGTATTTACTGCTCACAGAAGCCTGAAAGGCAAAAAAACTCTGTGGGAACTCCCCCCAGGTGAACTTCCAGGAAAACTCCCAGTTTGCCTGTCCTCTGTTCACTTGGTTCGAAACTGGCTGCTGGCTCAAAGCAGAGGGCCCAGGTCAAACCTCTCCCTCCAATCAACTACTCCAGGCCTATCTGGAACAAAACACTCCCAATTCACAATTTTCAGACAAACAACCACACAGTGAAACAGTCACAGTTATTTAAAAAAAAAAAAAAAGTCAAACAGTCCCTGCAACTAGCCCCAATCAAATAAATGGTGACAGCGGATGAACACTGTGATGTTCACCCCAGTATCTTGAAGCAGGGAACTTTTAGGCCAGGATGAAGTAATTGACTGGAGTCTCAAGAGATGATTGGAAGCATGATTGCTCGAGGGGACAGGTAAAACAGGTAAGAATAATTTTCAAAGGGGTAGCCATGTTAGTCTGTAGCTGCAAAAACAAGGAGTCCCATGGCACCTTAAGGACTAACAGATTTATTTGGGAATAAGCTTTCGTGGGTAAAAACCATTTTGTCAGATGCATGGAGTATCTCCAAGAATGATTTTGTTCATCAGCTTCAGTACCAGAGGTGTCAGCAGTAAAACACAGAAAACAGACCCTTCATCTAATGCAGGAAGAAAGCATCTCTCAGGGAACTGCGGCCTAGACCTCATCGTGAACAGAACATACAAAGCTGTTCATGGAGGTGGTGAAGAGGCCTGCTTCTGGAAATCTTCACGTTTGAAATAAGCCATGGAATGTAAGAGAGTCCAACTCCTATTTGTAGTCTTAGGAAAAGTGTCTTTTAAAAGTATCAGCCTGGTATATTGAATATGATATAGGTACATTGCCAAAATATATATTTGATGGATTATGTATCAGTTCGGCAACTTTATTACTTCAGCACTCAGAGAGGGGAATTTTGCTCCTGAAGACAGTTGACAGAAAACATGCAGGCCGCATTGTCAGTCATGGCCCTGAGAAGAGGCAGAAAGTGAAGGCAAACATGAGCACCTTGAGTTCCAACTAATTGATGTGCATACTGGTTTCTTGAGGTGACCATTTGCCCTGGATTGTCTGAGTGTTAAGATGTGCTCCCCATCCCAACAGAGATGTGTCCGTTGTTACAGTGACCATTTAGGTTGGTCAGAGGAAGGCAACACCTGCTTCAATGTTCTGATAACCTTTCCACCAGCCTAGGGAATTTTTAACCCAGTGCATGAATCGAAACCTCTTTGTCTAAGTTCTGTCTGTTTGGTGAGTAGACTGCTCTGAGTTACCCTGGAAGCAATAAAGACAACACTTTGCACAATCTGTTACAACAGTGCCGTCATGTGATCTAGGAGCTGGAGGCAGTTTCTTCATGAGTTTTACGGACTCTTTTGACTAGCCCTGACAAGATCTGACAATGTTATCAATCTGTCCATGATAACGTAGGTTCTGGCTACCAACAAATCCAACAACTGTATTTTCTGTATAGGGATCATCATGGATTTCTTGACATTGAGTCAGAGACCTGAGACAGAGAAAGGGCCCTTTGTATGAGGCCCAGCACATCTTCATGCTAAAGCCAGCCATTGTTTGTGGAATTCATAAGCTGGAGGAAGGGGAAAGGAAAAAGCTGTGAGGGGGTGGATTTCCTGAGATTTCTGTGCTGTGCTAGACTTTACAATTGTGGGTGTACGCTCCAGAGGGGGTGTACACTGGAGAGCAGGGCAATTCCTGAGTTGAATTCCCCTCCCCCACAACTAATCTCAGTGTCTATATCTTTTCTTATCTGTGTGTGTGCTGGAGGCGGCTTAAGGATCTGGCTCAGCAGGGCACTATAAGTGAACCCAGAGAGGTGGAACAGGATTGGGCTCAGTGGAACCCCAAAATTATCAGGTAGTACCTTGCTACCGGGGGAGATAAACCATCACAGTCAACTATTAAATTAAGCTAATCTAACCAAGAAACTAGACCAAACTAACAAATATAAGAAAAAAAATTAGCAAGGCATGCTCAATGTGGACATGCTCATGCTCCATCGCAGGCAGAGGCAGTCGAGAAGGAACTGAGGGTTGTTTGCCCACCCGTGCAGGACACAAGAAACATAAAGGTGCATGTGTGGGATGAATGTACATGGTTAACCAAAATCTGATTGAAAGTGCATGGTGTGCATGCAGACCTTAAGTGTCACAAGCATATGAACGCTAGTCAAAGAAAAACAACTCTTTTTGGCAGGAAAATGAGGGTAAATAAAATCACTCACCGATATCAGAAAAACTTTGACTCCCTGGTCCTCTGTATCCATGGCTGTGATACGGATACTTTTTTCACTGGCTTTGTCAATCTGCATCTGAGCCCAGAGCTTAGTGTTCAGGATTAACCTGAGACTCCCCTGAGTCCGCATTACTAGAACCAACGTACAAAGCAAGTTAACAGCAGACATTGGACACCTGGACATAGCAGAAAAAACTCTTTTGTCACTTTCAGAATACATATTTTTTAGAAGGAGAATCCTGTTTACATACAACTTGCATGTTGAGAAAGCATAACTAGAAGAATCAGACCTAGGTACAGTTTGGACCTCCTTGGGACCTAACTGGTTCAGGATGAGGGAATTTGCGGGACCAAGGGAGGTGATTTCTGGGCCCCCCTGCCCTGCCACTTCCCCGGGCTTCCTGGCAGCCCAGCTGGGTCATGCACTGGGCTTCCTATTCCTCCTCCCCCAACTCCCTCCCAGCCCAATGGGGCTGCGTGCTGGTCTTCCCAGCTCTGACCCTCTCCCCACAGAGCCTAGCTGAACCACATGCACCAGGCTTCCCTCTCACTCTCCCCCTCCACAGCTACACACCTGGCTCCCAGCCCGACACATCTCCCACAGTGCACCAAGCTCCTGTCTCTCCCACCCCCTGCAACATGACAGGACACTCTAATCCTGGAACATATGTGGTCATGCCAGAACACGGATGTTGCTGGACTAGAGAGTTCCAGTTTACAGAGGTGCATCCTGTAGCTTCATTACATTGCAGAAGGAATGTATAAGGGCCAGAGAGGGGATCAGCCTCAGCCTCAAAGTCTCTATTTATATATCACAGACTAAAGATGGAAACCGCCAGCTTCCAGAAAGCATATTCCTAGCATATATTGATTAATCTTTAAAGATTGTGTGTTCATCAATGCATAAGACATGGTGAGAAATTTATAAAATATTTATATTTTATTCACTGCCAAAGAATGTTGTTAATGCAGTAAAAATTATCTAGCAATGCCTTGTGCCTTTCTAGAATGTAAACAGGGTAAATTTAAAACCTCTTAAAATCAGGACAAAGTTAAGGTAATCTCTCTCATGGGCAGTTCGACTGAGGTTTGCCGTGCCAACTATCTGCACAGAGCTGAGAAAAACACAAATACCACACATGCTGCCAAATATTTGATGACACCATTCCACATCTCTAGATAGTCATAATTCTCTCAGTCTCTCATCACTGGCAATAGGCTCGGGGACCCAACCTGACCCATCCCTAACAAAATCTGCCACTTCGGCATTGTGCTAGGTGTGTTCAACCCAATTCTGCACCATCAATGCCCCTGAAGTTCTCACTACCCCCTCACTGTAATGGAGGGAGCTGTGTTTATCCTGGCATTAGTGGCAGCAAATTGCTAGAACTCACCCTGCTTTAAGTGCAGGAGAAGTTCAGCTGCAGTTAGAGGAATCAAGCCAATCTAATTTCTGGGCTCTGCTATGAAGAAGGTCCAT